GCCTTAAATAAGGAAAGAGATACTTAAATTGTTACTAATCAAGGTATTTAAAACTGAACAAGAAGTAAAGAGTCAAGAAATATTATCTAATTTATTGCAATCATCTTGAAATCGTTATAAAACCCTAAAGGATTTGCTATTCTATAGTATGTTACACCTTTGTCCCCCAGGAGCACACACACATTCCTGGAACCCCTTTCATCACGAATTTCCAATGATTTCATTGCTGTCAGAGCCACTTCGTAGTGGAAATGCTCCAAGGACCTAACCGAACAATCAAACAATGTGCGTGTCCCTTTTTTGAGCATTTCACACGCCCACATGACCAGGGCAGTGCCTTTAAAAGACCCGAAAAAGAATTAAATTGGAAAAGCGTCGAAAAAGAGTCGAATGAAAAAGGGTTCAAATGTATTTACACTCGGGTGTGCATAGGGCTTTTTCCGCACCCCCGCATCCCCCGAAATTGTTTACGGCAATGTGCAGGGAAATGCAAAAAACACGCAAAGCAGCCCGCAGCGACCAGACAGGCAAAACACTCTCGCCAGACCTAAAAAAAAAAAGAAGAAAAAAACCATAACAAATATCAGAAAAAAAGCCAGGCTAGAAGTTTTGTGGCATTGCCGCAAGATTCAAGTTTTGGCCGCTCCCCATTCGCTTCTTACTTCTTTTTTTCGATGCAGGGAACGCGTGTCGTAAAAATTTAATTAAAAAATAATTTTGCTAACAATAAAAATCAACACTGGGGCAGTGGATGATGATGATGATGATGGTGATGACAAAAGAAGTTGCCGAACCGCAGGCCAAATAATGATTAAGCATACGCCGTGTCAAAATGTGCGAATTATGTGCCTGAAACAGCGGGCATTTACGGCCTGGCTTGGCTTTTACTTTCGGTTTAGTTGGCTTTCGGCCGGATTCAAGCCGAATCTCGCCACTTTAGTGTCGGCCTGAACGAAATTATGACGACGGCTTTTTATTGGGCCCAGAGCTATTGTCTGCTCCTCCAGCTCCTGCCGTTCATGTCCTTGTTGTCCTGACAGCTGAAGTGGCCCGCCCGGATGCCTTGATGTCTGAATGCCTGGCTGCCTTTGGCTCTACTTTCCCCTCAACCCCTCTACCCCTCAAGCCTTCCCTTTTCCTCCGCTTGTCGAGTCAATAAAAATTCAGTAAAACGCTCTCGACATAGGCTCAAGGATTATTATTGCTACTTTATGACAGTTTATGTATTTTTCCTTTGTGTGCGTGTGTCTGGGCTAGTGACAACGCAGATTTAAAAGGTTATATACACAGGAATATGGTCGAGAGTGCAGAGGCGATGGGTAAAAGAGGAGGGCGGCCCAACTTGTAAAGTGTTCGGAACGCAAATTGCTTCCCTGGGACAACTGCCAGTGGAGCCAAGTGGAACGTTTTGTAGTCAATTTCACAGATAATTGGAAGGCCTAGATGTTCCTGGGATATGGGGCGATGAAATATTCAGCAAATCTTCCGATATTTTCACTCCACAAAATTCAACTCGACCAAGAAAATTCCTGAAGTATTTCAGACTTGTCTTTTTGAAGAGTAATTACTTTGCAGATAACTCGTGCAGGCATTTACGAAATGAAATACAAAATTAGTGTTGCTACAATACTTTAATCACAATGTGCATTTAAAACCACAAAACTTTGGACTAATTTAATTTAATAAAGGACTGCTTGCCGGCTTTGTGCTGAAACTCAAACAAAATACTCCTTCAAAAACCAGAACGCAATAAACTTCTAGCCGACCCAAAAACCCAATGACAACAAAGGCATAACCAGCACAAAAAATTAACCAAACTCCGGGCAAACTTTGCCAACAAGCAGCAATAAATGCAACCAACGTGGCCAAGCTAATTATGCGCTTCCTGCAGGGGTTGGCCAACAAAAACAAGAGGAACAGGCCAAAATCTGCTCGGAAAGACAAAAGCGTTAACCTCAAACTTTGACTCCGACTTTTGGCCCAATTATGGCCACGTTTCAATGTCGAGTCATAAAATTTGCATATTTCCCCGGCCGAGCTTTTTTAATGCTCTTTGCCGTTCATTTAGAACGATTTGTTTTTTTTTTTTTTGTTGCGTCCGCCGTCTTGTTGTTTTATTTGCGAGGGAAAATGTAAGCCGGCCAAATACGTTGACACCTTCATTTTAATTCCGAAAGGGGCTGGCTCGGAGGTTGGCCAGAAGAAAACTCGCTGCTAATTGCAGTGTCGAGGCTCGAAGCAAATGGCTTAATTACCTTGTATTCCCCGGTTGTTGTGTTGACCTTTCGGGACAAAGTTCATTTGCATAATTTGGCAGGGTTTTTAATTTTCGGCATAGCATTTCCCTGGCAATTCCGCACGTAGCATTTGCATAAACAGAATCTACACGCGAGGCAATCAGCATAATTCCCTCTGCAAACATATTGAGCCGACAATCACTGCAAGCTCTGCCACCGCCAGAGTGAAAACAAATATCTTTTATCGCATTCAACTAGCTGCTGGAACTTAAAGATGAAAAAACAAGAAGAAACGATGCAGTCAATTGATTCGACTATCAGATACCTGTTATTCTAACAAACAAATTAAATTGACAAACTCCGGAGTCTTGCATATTCACCAAAATCTGTATTATATATTATAAATGATCCTAATCTGGAATATGTATACATAGTAGGATAGCAAGTGATTCCTTTTACCTGTTACACAATTTTTAAGCTATACAGTATACCCTTTTTCCTCCACGAGCAAATTTACTACAAGCAAAGTTTTCCCTAGCCAAGCGATATTTGCTCATCAAATTAGTTTTCTTGCACACGTTTTCAATTTTCGGCAAACGCTAAAAGTTTCCGGCGCCACTCAATTTTTGGGAGCTGAGGGTTATATTTGCCAAATATGCGTGCGTGTGAGATAACGTGCATACACAGAGCGGAATATAAGATAATTATTTTTTGTGGTTTAAGTACAACTTTAATAAACACATTAAGTGTTCCAACCAGTACCCCCTTTTTAATTAAACACATTTATTATAACAATAATAGGTAACCACTCTATCTAATAAGCAAAGTTAAAAGGTTTTAAGTGTAAGCACGCACAGCCAAAAGCGTGTCAATTGTGGCAAAGGTTTTAGTATTTGAAATTTGAATAACCTGGTAAGCACCCCTGAGAATTTCATTTCGAATTCCGGTAATCCCGCACAGCCCCCTACAACCCCCTCTACAAAACAAACCATCTAAGCCTAAACAACAATAATGAGAGTGTACAATGGCATGCATAAATCAGCTGGCTGGACAATGGGACATGGCAAATGTTGCCAAAAACTCTATTGTATGCTCATAATTGCCAACTTCCTTTTTGTCAGCTCCCCGAACGCCTGCATCCCTCGATCAGTGTCGCCAAAGTGGGTCACATGTGCATAATAATTAACAACATTTACAGCTTTCGAATGCAATTCCACCTCGTTTGGTATCAAAAATAGATTTTTCCGTATTTACATTTGGCCAACATTGCGTATACGCCATGGTAGCCATTTCAAATGGCAAATAATATGAGCAAATGTTTATTCATTCTGTCAAACAATTCGGATTTCTATTCCCATACAATTTCTATAAGCTAGCAGGAAGAGCGGTAATTAATAAAATCACATTTAAATCCAATAGATTTTATTCGTTTTTTAGCAGCAATTTGCTCGTTTGTGGCATTAATTGGAGGTTGTGTGATAGCTTTGCGAATGTAAATAATTTTGTTTGACTGATATATTGGCAATTATGAGGGCACATCCAATGAGTTCTTGGTATGGGGGAAGCCATATCGTCCTCTATCTGCGATTTGAAGTGCTGGGGCCTCATGTGCATTGGCCGGATTAGATAACAAAGATCCAGAGTGCTCGGTTCGCCCAGTATCCGGTTGGCTGTGAGCCATTGGCAAACATTTACTTAGCTCTTGCCCCCTGCTAAAATATGCAGAGCCAAACAGAGACAGCAAATTCAACAATGTTTATTTGCGACTCTTGTTGGCACAAATGTTGTCATTGATTATGCATGATCCACATACGCAGGCGAATATTCGTCAAATTTCAACCCAGTGTACAATCTCTTTATTGGTCCAGGGTATATAAATATTTTTTGTTAAGCCAATTGGCAAAACAACCAAAAAATCACGGTGAACGTGCTAAGTAAAGTTAAATTTGTTTGCACTAAAATTTACGAAATTTTTTAATGAATTTTTTTGGTGGGTGTTACAGTCAAGCACGAATTTCAGGGAAGACAACTTACTTAATATTGGTCTAAACAATTTTTATAAGGAAACCAAAATATTGATTGGGGTAATATTTTGTTATCAAATTAATTTAACATATTAACATTGGTTTCAATAATAAAAAACTGGCTTATGTTTAAGGAGCATCTTCAAAGTCAGGTAGCTCTATTTTATTTTTAGATTAACTTGAAACCCTCAGAAATTTGTTTATTTATATTCTTTTCTTTCTTTACTTTTCGAATTCCCAACTATATCATCTTGTTTTGTTGTCAATTTACACAATTGGCACATATTACGTCGTATTTTGTTTGCATTTTGTTCAATTTGTTTTCAAAGCCACAAACCAACTTTGTAGTACTTTTTTCTTCCATTTTTGGATCAATATTTAGCAAAGGTATTTACATTTGCATGTGTGAAATGTGGAAACAAAAGGTTTACCTTTTTTCTCATTTTGTGTACACTTTACAGTGTGGAAAATTTCGTTACTGTTTTTTAAACGACTGTGACAGGCAAAAGCTTTGGCCATGAACCCCACAAATAGTTTCTAAGCTTAACGCATATTTTTTTGTTAGAACCCCGGCACATGACCAGGCCTTAACGAGGCTTTTGGCCAATTAACGGGGGGTTGTTGATGAAACGGATTGTGTGAAAAGTTACCGTGAATAAATGGGGGGAATATCCGTCAGCAATTGTGTTTTATTTTGATAAGAGGTTGCAAATCAAAAACAAATTCCCACTTCACTCACCTTAACCCAATGTTCTCTTCGGGGAATTTGTCTGCAAAGAGAACAAGGAAATTGTAAACATGATTAATATGCAAATGCCAAGCGGGCTTTGATTAACTGCTTAACCCAGTTTTGGTTTTGGTTTGTTTCTGTTTCTGTTACTGTTTTTGTTTTTGTTTTCATTTTGTTTTAAGCCCCACCAACTTCCGCCTACAATTGAGCGGCGGAGAAACCGCAAAACCAGTTTATTGCACTTGATGTGACAACAACTGACAGCCTGGGATTGAGATTGGGTTTTTGAACATTTTCATTTAGCATTCGGCAAATGTGTGCCAAACGGTTGGCATCGGGAATTGCACAACGCTTACAACTTAAAGTGCATACCTGGCCAATTTAGATTATATATTAATTTTCAACCAGTTGTGGGTCAGTCTTTAAAGCGGCTTAAACCGAGGGTGGTTCTCGGGCCTCTCAGAATTCTGGGAAACAGGCAGACTGGGTCACTTGATGATGTTAAGCGGCTTAGACGTTAATTGAATTAGTTTACAAGTAGCGCCCAGCGTACTGTTTGTGTTTGTATTCCCCGGCTCTGCTCGATTCATTGAGGCAGAAGCGCAGCCCCGCCACGCCCCCTTTGCCCACTCTCGCCCACTTTTGCCCCGCAGCCCGCTTAACCCACTTGTACAATTGCACTTGCACTTGATATACAATTAGATTCTTTGTGGCCGCAAAAGGCAAAAACAACTTCAGCTGCTTATGCAGCTTTTCTCGGCTTTCCACATGGCCCACCTCCTCGTTTCCCGCTCTAATGAACTTTTAATTGTTGGCATCTTGGCAAACTGCTTACATAATTGAACTATCGTGGTTCGCCTGGTTAATTGTTTAATTAAGCCATTAAAACGCCATAAAAATAATAAGCCGGCCTAAGCGAAACTAGAGAGGCTGCTTTCAGCTGAATTACCTCAGTTGGCCAGCGATATTCGAGTGGCTTTTGACATGCGACACTTGCACCCTGAAGAGGGCCTTCTAATTAAATTCAAGGGACTCAGTAGATTGCACAATCGTAAAATTTGAATAAAAATGAGCGAGTAAATTGGAATTTTTCCCAAGAAAATGAATTTAATAAAGTAAAATCAAGAGCAAGTTAAATTCGCTTAATTGTTTCTACCGAAACAACACTTTAATTATGCAATTACTTATCCTCTTCGAAAACAATTTCCCTAATCGTTAAATTTTGCCTAAAGCTTCCATTTACCCTTTGTCAACTTTGGCATTATTTTCTGCACCTTTGTGCCGTCACAAAAACCATTAGTTCTCCCCTTTATAGGTGAGTATTAACCCATATTCCAAGTACTCTGCCACATCTCTCACTCGCGTGACTTGTCAAATTTTTGACAGACAATGGCTGTGGCAAACAACTGGCATTGATGCGACAGGGCGAAGCACCAAAGGCAACAGCACCCAACAATTAGATTGCCCGGAGAAAATGCTATCAACGGTGGCAGTGGCAAGGTTGGGGAAATGGCAACAATTGCTGTCACCATGACGATAAATGATAACAAATTCATTAATTAAAATTTAAGTGCGCAACAACAAAGGGAAGATTGCCATGCAAATGGCTTTATCGCTCTTCTGCGCACACCAGAATTGATTTGCATTCTCGCAAAAAGACTGGGTTTTAATATGCAAAAACCCAAAAAAAAAAAAAAAAAAAAAAAAACAATAACATGTCATGTAAATTGTTCGCAAATGTTCATCAATAAATTGAAGGGCAAAAAAGCTACTGTTGAGAGGCGGTTGGCGCACTTGAAACTTATCCACCAATTATAGTAAATTTTAATAATTTTTCAATTTGTTTTACCGGTAATTTTATGTCATTTTATTTTTTCCCCTCTATTTTCGCATCAAGCAGTTTATCGTAATCTCTTTATGGGTTTACTTTGCTTTCGATTTAATTAAATTTTATTAACATCAGCAATTTATTACACTTTTTTTCTACATCAGCAGTGGTTACCACAAAAACGGCCAACAATAAATTGATTACACTCCATAAATTACTTAAGAGGTAAAAAATACAAGGAGGTAAGCCAAAAATGCACAGCAATTTTAGGGGTAAGCTGTCTTAGTTGGCTGGAAAAAGAAAAGCTTATAGAAAAAAATATTTTTAAACTTAAGCTTTTCAAGAAATCTGTATAGGCTAAGTTGTTGGACAGTTCTGTGCTTGCTAAATCCGTTTGTCTGCACTCTTAACAAAAAAATATGATAGATATTTAATTAAAGAGATTTTAAATGTGTGTACGATCTTACAAAAGCCCAAGCTGAAGTAAAAACCATTTTAGATTGTATAAATATAGCTGGACGACTTAGTTTCTTTGGAAATAAAACTAGAAAAAGGCTTTATCATCTTTCGGTAAAACGCCTCTTGTTTATCGAACTAGAAAATCCCTTTATTGCTAAACTAAAAGCATAACATGTCAATTATTGCATTTACCTGTGTAATGGCTCTCTAACCTCTATTAAAATTTCATTTGCATATCACCATACGCCCCGTGTGACAATTCCATACAACTTACGACCGACCAGTCAAAAAAAAAGCAGAAAAAAAATACCATTTGTACATCCAATACCAAAAGGGAGGAGATGAAATAAAAAACTCGAACAATAACAACGGATAAACCAATTTAAAAAAATACAATCTGCAAACCAAATCTGCACACACAGACGACATGGCATTTTGGAGAGAGAGTCAGACAGACAAGGGATGGCTACATTTTAAATACATTCATGCCATATAGTTTTTGCGAATTTTTTTCCTCGCCAGCGAAATTGCAATGTGTGCCATGGGCGCAGATCAGGAAGAGAAGTGCCCGCCACTCCCCGCAGCAATCCTATTTTAATTGTTTAAGTGTCAGCAAAGCCAGAAATAAAACTGCAGAAATTGGACTAACCGAAAAAAATTAAATAAAAATCAAGTAGGAAGTGTGCGGCGTTTTTAATGAATTCAATAAAACTCAGATTGAACTTGCACCATTTGCCGGAAGCGGGAACACAACCTTTTTTTTTGTGGCATGCCGCAATACCAAATAAATGTTAATGAGGACCTAGAAGAATCTGCTTATGTTCAGTTCTATTTGAAGAGGAAACGAGCGATAAAAGACAGGGGAAGTTCAGATAGCCAAAAAGGACAAAGGCCCAAAATATATTTAGTTCCCCGATTTTGGCTTTTATTCTTTCCGCCGCTTTCTTTATTGTATTGCAGAAAACTTTCGCTCTGTGCACACACTAATTGAACTTTCATTGAAACGCAAGTCATTAGAAAGCAAGAGCAGAACTGATTTTCCACGGCTTCGATAAAAAGGAAATTGAAACAACAAACAACAACAACAACAGCAACAATGGGCGACAAATGGCTGGCTAATTCAAAACTTGACAATTCCGCCGATTGAAATTTAATTAAATGCTATTATTTTATCGGCTTTTGTGCAGCTAATTGGGTTAAGTGCACTTTGCTTATCGACTTTAAACTTCCTGTGACTAATCAATCAGCAAAAATATGTAGGGGAGGGTGGTCCCATACCGACCGGTCGTACCATACCGACCCCCCATGTTTCTCAGAGATGGCGATGTTAGCCGAATTGTCGGTAACTTCAGTGAAAAGCTGTTATAACACAGACATTTTGGAGATAGATAGCCACTTTGACTTATTTTGTTTCACTGCAATTTTTCCGTTTGTTTTGTTTCAACGCCTGTGACATTTATTTTTGAGCTTTACTGAACTTGAGCTTAAAGTTTTTTTTCTCCGCATAAAAATCGGAGAGTAAATTTTTCTGATCGTTGATAGTCCTAACTTTCACTCACATAATTAGAATTACATCGCTCTTTGCGTCTTTAGTTAATGCCGAGCAGTTAATCAGAAAAGGTCGTGGTGGTCCGAAACCGACCGCTAGGTGATGGTCCGAAACCGACCCCCATTTATTGGCAGCTTAATATGTCATAGCGTATTTTTGATGGAAAATATGAAAAAGTAAACAAGATTCAGTAAAGAAAAGTAACAGAAACAGCAAAAACATCAGAAGAAAGCGAAGAGACAGTCATCAACGAGCGGCTTTAGAAAAACAACGCGAAAACAACGCGAAAACTTACTATGAGAAAGGGGACAACTCAGACTTCATCTATTGACTACAGTGCCCTTTATTTCATACATTAATTTTTATTTTCTGGAAAGAACCTTCAATATATTTCTTAATAAACGTCAAAATCATTAAATTCTATCTTATGTTATTAAATTTTTCTGTTAAGAAATAGGGGGTCGGTTTCGGACCACTACTTTTGAGTACGACCAAAAAGTAGAGTTTTATATTTGCCTGAATATCTAACGCTTCAAAGCACCTACGCACTTACTAATCATTTAGATGTATAGTAAACTGATCCCTCTACATAGTAAATTTTTGAACTGAACTGAAAAATTGATTTTTCTCACCTTTATCGCCTTTGCCTTTTAGGGGGTCGGTATGGGACCACCCTCCCCTACGCATTAGTACACATGGTCGCTGCAGTTGTGTGAATTCCCCCATGCATCTAGATATATTCAGACATTGCTCTGCAATTAAATTAGAGCGGAGCAGACAGGCTGATAGCGAACGGAAGGAAAGGGAGTCTGCAGAGCGTCTAGAAATTGAAATTGACGCTCCAATTCAATTGACGACATGATGGCAATTTTATTTTTGGCCTAAGCTAAACAGAAATAGAAATGCGAGAGAAACCATGATGAAAAAATGGGTTAGTTTTTACCCTGCTATAACTACTTAATGATAATAATTTATAATAAAATTTAAATACACTTTTTTCAAATGCTTAACATTTTTTTCAATTTTGAAAATGTTTGAAATAATTGCCTAAGATTCTAAGACTTCTATTAAAAATAAATTTAAAGAAAATATAATTTTATATTTTACTTTTTGATGATACCCTTAATCCCCTTTCAATGGGACCCACTGTACCTGTGCCCTAGTCCAATCAACCAGAAGCCCCTATTAATAGCTGCTAAATGGA